GGAACTCCCATATTGAAACAACAGTCTGATATGCTATCTTATATCACGAGTGAGGGAGAGGCAAGGCCTTTCTTGCTAGAGTTCTATGCTTTTGTGCAAAATTGGTAACTTCTAAATCGGAATCCTTCGCTTGCGCCGATGTATTTGTCGTCGCGACTTTAGGTAACTGCACCCGTACTCATGCAATCACCGTCTTTAGTGTTAAGGCATAATATGTACTCCTGCGTTGTAAATAGACGGTTCTTTAAGAGGTTACGAAATAGTTGGCTTCTCAGAGTGTACGGCGCTGTTTCCGATTTCGATTGCGAATTCTAAGCATGCCCCTTTGATAGCGTGCCATAGCTACACTCACGTTGTTCGCAAAGAACGACAGTATGAATGAGACTTTGTCTTTGTCGCACTTATCGTTTCGGATTGCGTGATTTCCTTCAAATCTCTCCCAAAAAACCATATCCAAAGTTATTGGATGTAAGAATTTGCGTTCCAATTTAGCATTTCTGCTTTCTCCTCAGTCCCTATACACACACTGCCTGCTGCTTAGAACATGTTATTTACAAACTCTCTTATATATGTGAGGGTTGAGAGCAGAGATAATGAGCCAATATAGCCTATTACTTGGCATGTCTTCACTTGACAACCTGAATGCGGCCGTTTTCGTATACTTTTATGGACGTCTTTAAAAAAGATCTAGTCGACAAGCTTCAAGCTAAACCAAATGCACTACTGGGCTCTCATAGGACACAGACACATAACGCAGAGAATTTTGAAGAATCTATCATGTTTGCACAATAGCTTGAGTCCTAGAGTATACGATTCTCAAAGTATTTTGAATGAATTCATAAATCCGAACATAAGCCGCATGGAGGAGTGCCTCCTCATCACTTTTGATATATCACAACATTTAAAACTGTTGGGTTTTTTTCCGTTGGATTGGAGGGGATGAAGATTCTATCCCACTTGCTGGGCATCTATTTCTCATACGAGTATTAGTAATCATTCAAGAGCTCAAATCTCTACGCTACGTGACCTTTTTTTTTGAAAAAGCTCTTATGTGGAGCAGCAGAGTTTAAGATAAAATTACTTTTTACATCAAACGCACAATTCTATTATCACATAACTGAAACACGAAAAGCATATGAACGTTTAGAGGAAGTATTGTAGTTTCGAAGTTGTGAGTTTGATCAAAAGTTTCTTTCAAAGCGGAGAAGCAATTCCTGATTGAATAACAAAAATCGCATTTCACTATGACATGCCGAAGCGCCGCTGATTTATGGTTGTGTTGAAACCGCGGTAGTCCCCTACGTCCTGCCTTCTCCCCACCTCATCCCATAGACTAGCCAAAAAACACATGCGCGCGTATGTGAATCAATCCTATTTTCCCTGCTGCCGCAGAGAAACGGTCTCTCCAGAAAATAAGCGTAGCGTTATAATTGATGATTCTTGCCCTTTCAGATGATTACTAATAGTCTAAAAGAAGAGCTCTGTCCTGCAAGAAATATGAGTGTGTGAAACACAATTGAATTCCTTTCACTTAAACATTATAAAACGATTTTTCTTCAAAAAAACAGACATTTAGTGCTTCCTGTATTCATAGATTTAAGCTTTTGGATATCTACTCAAAGTGTTATGGAAAGTCTATGTTTAACGAGTGGGATAGTTTCTTTATTCCGTGTGGTCTAACGGAAAGTGTTCTTTGTCTAACTGTTGTTTTTTATGAGAGATGTCCATTGGCAGTTCAGGTGAACTCTGCACGGTTGGTCTTCACTTGAATAACTCAGTGGAAGACTCACAGAAAGCAGTGGCTATGTAGAAAAGTTCCTTTGCTTTTGGTGTTATTGAGATGTACGTGCGATAATCTATTTGTTGTAGTAATGGAGGAGATTGGCTGACTGGGTTGTAGACAACCTGGTCTTCCCACTTCTGATGAACGCGAAACCGGAGAAATGTCAGCTGTTAGAAAAAATTGTCTACAGCAGATGAATCTTTTGATTTTACTGCTTTTTAACAGTGGTATGAGGTTACATATATACATTATGAGGTTACATACATACATTTATATATCCATATATACATGAGGATACATGTATACACTTAGATATCTATATATACATTTGGAACATTGAGTAGTATGCAGAATATTCGACGTCAAGCGGGAGATGAACCCGCATTTCACGCGATGGAATATGTCGCTAAGAGTGGTAACAAAGCGGTGATATATATATATATATATATATATATATTTATTTATTTATTTATTTATTTATTCACTTGCGCAGTATGTATATGTGTATAGAAGTATAGTTATATATACATACATAGTTCTACATATATATATATATATATATATACAAGGTGCGCAAAAAGTTCTGGTAATTTTGTATTTTGTTAATTTTGAATTGATATAACATTTTCATATTAATGCTGATAATTTTAATGTCTTCTTTGTTTAATTTGGGCGCAGAATCTACTATATTTTTTTTTGGTCAACTTTCAAGTGTGCTCAAGTTATGGATTGTAAAAATCAACGTATCGCAGTAACTGAGTTGCTCAAGCCGGGAATGAAAACGGCCGACATCATTAAAATTGATTGGTTTCAAAACAGTAACTATCTACAGAGCTCTAAAACGTTCTAAAGTAACTGAAGAGATTGAAGGCTGCCCTCGAAAAGGCCTTTTAACTACCTCGTTCACTTTGGAAAACATTCAGGAAATCCGTTACTAAGTTCAACATTTTTTGAAGAGTTCGATGCACAAAATGGCTCGGCAAGTTCGAGATCAGCGAATGTAGGCTCGAAAACTTTGTCGAAAATACGCTGAAACTGCGCACATACAAGATCATTCGTGTTCACTTTCTGGACAAAAAGACAAAAGAAGAACGGCTTGCAAAGCTAGCCAACTGATTCATTTGATAGCTGGCACTTATTTGTCGAAGGTGCTCTTTACAGATAACAAGATATTCACGGTCGAACTATTCCGCAATCGCCAAACTGACGTCAACTTTTCAAGAAGGGTCAGCAGAAATCCGCAGCAGCAGAAACCACGGGCCGCAGACATTTCCAGACCTCTGTGATGGTCTGAGCCGAAATTTGCGTCACGGAAAAGGCGCCGTTGGTCTTTATCAACAACAACGTTAAAATGAGCGCTTCCAGCTATCAACAGAAGTTCTACGGGCACACTGGAGCCTTGAAGTACTCAGTACTCTTCACTGACAGATTCACGCTTCAGCAGGGCTGAGGTCGCGTGCATTCAGCCCGCTCAACGATTGCCGTCTGTTAAGAGCTGTTTTCAGGCCGTTTGAGCAATGATACTTGGCCGTCAAACTGGCCGAATCTCAGCCCAAGAAATTACTCCGTGTGGTCCATACTGGAAGAAGAAGTTTCGGCCACTCACTACACTAGCCTAAACGCGCTTAAAACCGCTTTGACATGCGCTTGGGACGAAATTACTACGGAAAAGTGTGCGAGCATCGGTGAAAATTTTCGTAAGCGACTTTGCAAATGTGTAGAGGCCAAAGGGGGCAATTTTGAGAAATTGTTGCAAACTTTTTTGTTTATTACCATGTCTGTTGCTCTGATAACCGCGATTTTTTTTAATTGAATAAATTCATTTGTTTGTGCAATATTTTTCTAGTGTTTAGATGTCTGCAAAAGTTATCCGACCTTTTTGCTCACCTTGTATATGCAGATTACATACCACTGCGGAAAAGCGAGGAAAAAAATTCATCTAGATTATACATATCGAACATCTGTCAGCATAGCATTTCAACCCCGATGTATATTTGGCCAGACCGTTAAAAGTTGGTTGGTGACAGCTACGACAGGATATATCGAGCTGATTGGTAGCAGAGCGGTGGTGTCGGTGAAGTATCCAGCACGCGCTTTTAAGAATAAAATGCGGTTTAAACTCCCGCCTGTGGTCGAGTGTTTAGCTTAAGAATCAGTATTCTTAGAATATATTGCATTATATCGGCCTATTTCTCGGTTTGCAAAGAAAATGTTGTGAAGTCTTTTGAATTACTGAAATGAGTATAGAATGTAAAAGATAGTGCTGAATAAATGGTGTTATAAAAAGTTAGTATTAGGTCTCCACCTAAGTTTCCTAATGTGATCCAAAAATTAAATTTTTCGAAGAAATCGAAGATATCAGACAACATCAACTGACGTATTCTCCGTCTGCCTGGATGCAATTCTGCCAACGCTCCGGCAGCAAATCAATTCCACGCTCATGAAACTCATTATTCCTCGGTGCAAACCAAGCGGCCTATAATCGACACAAATGATTGATGTCAACTTATTCTTGCGCAACCAGTGCTCCAATGATCTAAAGAGATGAAAATCGGACGGAGACAGACGTCTGGCGAATACGGCGGATGATTCAAGTGCTCCCAGCCCAAACTGGTCAACTTCTTCTCTGTTTTCTTGGCAACGTGTGGCTTTTCTTTGTCATGAAGCTCGACGGCGGTGACGTGGGATTGCTTGACGGCCCCATTGTGGGACAAGCATGTGCAAAAATGTACCAATCGATGCGCAAGAAAATTCTGCACAATTTAGGTAACAGAAAAATTTGTAATTGATAGTATTTTAAGTGCATTTCGCACTGTTATGATGTTTCCCATAGACCTGAGAGAATTGAGTGGTGAGCAAAAACACGACCTCAAGCGGAAATCGAACCTTTCATCCTATCCGGGGACGCGTGCTCTACCACTGCACCACTGAGGCATATTTGCCCGACCACTCAATCTTCAACATCTCAATGTTAGCTATCAGCCACAAACCTTTGACAGGTTTGGTCGTGTTTTTGCTCACCACTCAATTCTCTCAGGAATATGGGGAACATCATAACAGTGCGAAATGCACTGAAAATACTATCAATTTTGAGTATTAGTAATTAGAATAGCTCTCAGCTCAACTGGGTTTATAAAGCGAAATCGCATACCCGACCAAACCTGTCAAAAGTTGGTGGCTGATAGCAAACATTGAGATGTTGAAGAATGAGTGGTTGGGCAAATGTGCCTTAGTGGTGTAGTGGTAGAGCACGCGTCCCCGGATAGGATGAAACGTGGGTTCGATTCCCGCCTTTGCTTTTGCTCACCACTCAATTCTCTCAGAAAAATTTGTAACAAATTCCAAGAGTGACTACTAACCTCGGCATGCTCCAATATAGTTCCTGACTTTCTTCTTCAAGCCAAGCATGAGGTGTTACATTAATTTTATTTGACAGCTGACGTTTCGGCAGGTCGCCTTCTTTAGCGTTTGGAAGGGTCAAATTGTCCGCAATCCAATCAGTCAAACACCTCCATTACTACTTTAGAAAAAGCCATCAGACCTAGATTTCAATCGCATCAAGCACAAAATCAGCTCTCAACATACTCACCGCTTTTTACATGTGTTCCACTAAATGATTCAAGTGGAGATCACCGGAAGACGATCACATAGGCTCGTAATACACCCTACCCATCAAAACAACAGTCTCATAAACTAACTCATATCACGAGTGATAACGAGGCATTCCTCCCCGGTTTCATAGTTGGATTGGTAGTGTTAATCCAAAGTGTTTTCAGAATTTTTTGCTCTGTTTTTTGTTCCTGCGCAAGGATGGTGACTTCGATCTCAAAGCCTATTTCGTCGTGTTCTGTTCTCCATGCGTTCCTAGCAGGGTGTTCCGTTTATTAAGACGCTTGTCAGCTACGTGTTCTTCTAAGCAGGCATAGAGCGGCCTGTCCGTTTCGCCAATATACTTACCGCTACACGCTTTGCAAGAGATTAGGTAGACTGTACCTACGCTCATTCAATCACCATCTCTGCCGTTAGGACATATTTTACAATCTTTCATTATGCGTAGGCGGTCATATAAACGGTTGCGAACTAATTGGCGTCTTAGAGTATTCGGTGGTATTTCAATAATAGCCCCCGATTGCTCTAACCCTGCTCTTTGCAATGAACGTTTTATAGCTGTACTAATCTCATTTGAAAAAATTGAGAGGATGAACAAGACTTTTCTTTCTATCGAGTTTTCCTTCGGAGGCGTGCTCTTTCCTCTAACCTAAGCCGAGGAGTTACAGTAGAAGCACCAGTGGTATATCTCCGCTCATTACTCTACTGTTGGTATATAGATGATTGTTTGGTTCCCTGTTCCACTCAAGAAGAGCTAGATAACTGCTTCAGATTGTTGAATGAACAGTCAGAGTATATAAAATTCACCCGTGAGATACCAAAAGGTGATTGGCTAAAACAAAGTGGTATCGAAAGCCAAGTAATAAGAATATCCTGGTTCACTATCTCTCTTCTCGTTCCTCACATATGAAAAAGGCGTTAGTAAAAAACATGTTTTAAAGAGCCGCCAATATATGTACCGGCGAAGAGCAGAGAGTAGAATCCGTGAAAGTGGCTCGGGAAATAGCCACTTCTAGTGAATATGAATTTGTAACTCCTTGGCTTAAGTTTAGAGGAAAGAGTACGCATTCGAACGAAAACTCGAATAAAAGGAAAGTCCCGTTCATTCTCCAGATTCTTTCAAATGAGATTAGTACAGCTTTAAAACGCTGTTTGAAAAGAGGGGTTCAGAGCATTCGCTATTGAAATACCACTGAATATTGTAAGACACCAAATAGTTCGTAGCCGCTCATATGACCGTCTCTGTATAATGAAAGGTTGTAAAATATGTCCCAACGGCGGAGACGGTGATTGCATGAGCATAGGTACAGTCTACCTAATCTCTTGCAAAACGTGTAGCGATAAATACATTGGCGAGACGGATAGGCCGCTCTATGCCCGCATAGATGAACACCTAGCTGACAAGCGTCCTAATAGACGGAACACCCCGCTAAGGACGCATAGAGAAGAGAAGCACGACGGATTGATTTTAAGATCGAAGTCACCATTCTTGCGCAGGAACAAAAAACATAAGCGCGTAAGAGTTTGGAAGCGTTCTGGATTAACACGACCATTCCAACTATAAAGCGCAGGGAGGAATGTCTCGTTATCACACGTAATTTGAGTCAGTATATAAGACTGTTGTTTTGATGGGTGGGGTGCATTACGAGCCTATGTGATTTCCTTCCGGTGGTCTCCACTTGGATCATTCACTGGAACACATATAAAAAGCGGTGGGTATGTTGAGAGTTGATTTTGTGCTTGATGCGATTGAAATCTAAGTTTGGTGATTTTTTTCTAAAGAAGTAATGGAGGTGTTTGATTGGTTGGATTGCAGAAAATTTGACCTTTTCAAGCTCTGAAGAAGGTGAGCTGCCGAAACGTCAGCTGTCAAATAAAGATTAATGTAACATCTCGTGTTTGGCTATTAAAAGAAAATCAGAAATTGCAGAAAAGTTAGCTTCTGTGGAAAAATTCTTATTTTCTGGATCAAGTTTGGGAAGTTAGTTGGAGACTCAACAATTATGAACAAGAGCACAAAATTTGTTCTACCATTTGATAGAGGGCTCAAGCTTCAAAGCGCACTGAAATTAAGAAGTTGCTGACAGTTAATATCGAACTCTCAAAGCAGGCAGTGTGCAGTATCGTCTTGACAAATTATTCATTATGTTCTAATTTTCATTCACAGTGGCAATTTCTGGGCATGTGAAAATTGTTGAATTCAGAAGATTTTTATCGTAATTTCCTATGTAGATCTTACTAAAATTATTTGGATGCCAACCACATAATTTCGTAGCAAAGATCGCTTGTTCTTCCCAAATGAAAGTTATATAATAAGCATATATCAATCGGCCGGCAATCAACCGTCAACGGTTCGGTGTGGTAAGCAGATTTTGACACTAAGTGCTGATAGCTATTGGATATATAAGATGAACGGGAATTCTTCTTCTTAATCGCTTTTTTGACTGAAATATCATGTTATAACTGAGTCGAAAATCGCTCAATATTATGTGACCACATTTCATTATTAATTTGTTGCTCTTGCTCCTCAGTTCACTTATGCCTGTCCGTCAGCAGTGGAACAACTATCCGGTTGCCTTCTCCCTTATAACTCACCGCCTTAGGGCCTCATTCGTGGAATTTCCTTCTAGCAAGAATAAAAGAAATAACAGTAGCAATCAAAATGAACTGCAGCGATAATATAGATGACTATCTGTGTAAGAAAAATATAATGTACATTCTATAAACACGATAGTGGGATCACGTCGCGTAGTGGTTATGGATGCTCTGCAATCACACGTGGTCATTGGATTGATCGCGTGCTCCAGGTTCATGAGCTTCCATCCCTACGGTAATGATGAACTGGTTATACACTCGTCCGGAAGGATAGCAGCAGTGATTTGGTAAATGAGTAGATGAGCACAAATCATTGTTTAGGTCAGACAAGATGTAATCATTTTTATCGATGCTTGATGAGGTCTCACATGAGGCATTGTTCAAACAATTGATCAAGATCGAGCGCTTCCTTTATCCTTCACGCAGTATGATACATTCTGTGTCAATTCAGTTGTTTATTTTATTTGGATGACAATCTAATTCTTTGTACTATGTGGAAGTGTAGTATGGTGAATGTTCCTGCTGATGTACCAATATCGAACCGGAAAGGAAACTTTTTAGGCAAATTTTTAATAGTGTTAAGTGTGTAAGTCTGCAATGATATTTGTGGTATCGTAGGAGCCATCAATGGGTTTTTATCTGTTCGCGAGCGAAATTTTATGAGCTACTCAAATCGCTATAATTATGTGAAATTTATTTCACTATTAGTGATGAGTGATGGTGTAGTTGAATAATGACAGGATAGATGATGAAACGTTCGGTATTTACTGAACTCTCAAGAATGCCATGCGAGCGTTTTCTTTAAGCATCGTAAAAGGCATTAATAAACAAATTGGTGTTTTCCTCCTCCTCGACAGATATTGTCGCCTTATACGGAATTCAATTTTTCTGACCGCCTCTAGCGGTGGTATAATGTTACAACATACCCAATGATGTAGAGTGGTATGCAAATTACGTCAGCTGGCATTCGAAACCACATTTAGCCTATCTAGAGGGGCGTGCTGAATCGTCGTATCCCACCTGACGCAAAAGTTTTTGCGCACCACTCTACATCATTGGGTATATTGTAGCCTCAGAGGATGGATTGCTTTCTTAATCTGTGCCGCATAACCGACAATCACATTTGTGTTGCAGGCACCTCTACAAACACGCTAGCTGCACCTATTGATAGTACTACTGGTAGAAAAGGGCAAATTTTCTCCACAAAGCTTTTATTCTACAATTATTACTAGCGCAATTTTTTGTTTTACCTATCAAATTTTCCATCTTTCCGTCTCATTTCGCTAAGCTTGCGATCACTGGCAATCGTGTGATGACAGGGATTTTTTCTATTCAAAAAAAAACTTTCCAAAATAGTAATCAAGATCTCAAGATTTTTTTTATTTCATTAAGATCAAAAGGGTCGCATAGGATATATGAAGTTCTATTGAGATCTAACCGTGGAGTTTCGCGCAATAGGAGGAAAGGGACTTTGGCTCTTATTTCTTGAAATTTCGGTCGTTGACCACAAGCGTTGTCGTTTTACGACCTTTCTCTACACATACGCCCATGATAGAGTTTGAAAGAAGTATATCAACTTGCAAACCCGTGGGGGATGAGAAGAGTTAGTCAGTCCGCGGTATGGGTAATCAACGACTAAGTGTACACAGAGTGTCTCGAACCAATGCACCACATAAGTCCTCTATGCTTTCATGTCTTATACAAATTAACATAAAATAAACGGGATCGAAGACCTAAATCATTTGAACCATATTTCTGCTGGAGATTCATCGAAGGGCATCAGCTGTTGCTAATCATCTTCTCGCTTCTTCAGGAAATATAGGGTCCAATTTTGAAGGTGTATGATTGAGAAGCGGTTCCGTGTATTTCCTGACATCCGATAGATGTCCATGTTGTTGTCGTGTACCCTGTGACTCAATGAGTGCAATAAGACCTCCATCGCTCTCCCGTGTGCAACAGCTGTTTTGTTTTTGTTCTATATTTCCTTGACTTATGATTTTGAATTACACCTCGTGTGATCTCATCTGATTTCATGCTTCTCATGACATCAACGTAAGATCTCCTTAGAGTTTTGCCTTCACCAAAGAACTATTAA